CCTCGGTGGAAAAATACCAGCTGGCTGTCCTCTGAGTCAACTTCTTGTTCTTCCCAACCTAAAAGATAGGATAAGATTTACAGCCTTGACCGCAGAATGTACTGCCTGCCGTTAAGTTCCACTTATCGCTAACCGCCATGTCTGCTCCTGTGTTTGCCCGCTTGCACCGCCCTTAAGCTATCAGGAAATGCCAATTGCAGAAGTGCAAAACAACCCCCTTTAAAAGCAAAGTGTAACTGAAAGCCAGGGCTGATCTCGGAAAACTCCGGTTTGGAGGAATAGGGATCAGTCGCCAGCCGGCTAATCAATTGCTCTCTATTTGACCTTAATTCGGCTCCAGTGGTCTTTCGGTTCTCTCGCGCCGCAACAGTTGGAGGTCCCAGCGAAATTCTTCCCTAAAGGGAAGTCCCGGACCACTCAGACCGGCTATCGAAACTGCGAGGCAGCCAGCCTAGTGGAAGGCCTCTGAGAGACGTTCCTCAGCCCGGGGTTGAGCCTGCCCTCCCAGCTTCCCTAGCCTGCCAGAAAAAATTGTTTCAAAGTGATTTTTGAAAGAGCAGTCTGGACTCCTACGAGCCGCCCGGATCGGATCTCACCGGTGAGTTCACTTTTCTGTCTGTTCTGGTGGCGCCTATTGGGGGCAGGGGAAGGCTGGACGCAGCATTACTTCCCCAGCCAGGTCCCCTCGGGAGACGTCACAGGGAACTTCGGTTTGGGTTTTATTTGTGGTTCTGCATTTGTGTTGTGGCCTTTCTAATTGTCTGCTACTGCCTGTCTGTCTTTCCCTTAGTTGTTTGTCATGGGCCAAAGTCAGTCTAGCACCAAGACCCCATTGCAATGTCTGTTAGATAATTTCAAGGACTTTAAGGCAAGGGTACGGGGATATGGTGCTCCAGTAGGTCCAGGGACCCTCCAGACCTTATGTGAACTTGATTGGTCTACCTTCAGGGTTGACTGGCCGCCTGAAGGTAGTTTCAATTTACAATTAGCTTTCCAGGTCCGTCAAAAAATTCATGGGGACCCTGGACACCCAGATCAGATACTACATATAGATACTTGGATTGATATTGCCACTGATAGACCTGGTACATTAAAAAATGTCAATGTCCAGAAACTCAGAAGAACGGGAACTCGGTGCTCTTAGCTAAACCTCAACCAACCCAGAGAACGGTGACTCCCCTAAACCTCGGAGGAGATTATATCCCGTACTCCAGGGCCCCACTGAGGATATTTTAGACCCTATAAGACCACCACCTTACAGGCCTCCCCCTCCAAGGAGGGAACCGGAGAACTCCGAAGCTCAACCCCTGAGCCCTCCACATACCGGTGGAGAAACGCCTTACCCCCCCCCCCC